GTAGTAGGCAGGCACACCTGGCCTCACTGTGCATCAGGTTTGCATGACAGTGTACTGCCTTTGTGTTCACAGGGAAATCACCACCGCCTCTGGGGCAGCTACCATTATAGAAATTATCCTTTTTATGTACATTCTATTTCGAAATCAAATTAATTAATGCATTCTGTGGTGAACACTTATCCAGCAATGTTATTCTTGTACAGTCTTTTGCATTTCCACCACCTGGTAGACTGGAGTGGAACGGCTTGTTGTTGACGATAATTTGTCACACAACAACAGACCAATTTGTCTGATCTGGTGGAAATGCAGGCTAACAATGGTCTGCTGGAACATTGTAGTTCCTTGAAGAAAAACAGTGACTTTTGGTCCCAGGTAATATAGATCCCAAGCAATACTGATTATTATGTATGAGACTCACCCTGATTCAAGAGGTGTTGCATATTGTCATCATGTGAAAAAAACTATTTTTCAATTCAACTGAGAAGAAATATTCTTGAAATGGTTAAAAAGTCAACCACATTTCGTGCTCACCTCTGCTGTACTGCATGCAGTGTTAATAACAGATGCCTCAGCAGTGTCTCTGAGTGAGAGGCAGTTTGTCTTCCTGACACTTAGTTGGGAATTCATCTGAGAGATGGCCAAAACTAAAGCTGAGTAAACTGAGCCCAAACCAAGGCCACAACTGCTGTCACTGAAGTGTCAGTTGTTGTCAAGCAGCAAATTATTTAATGGGTCTAAGTGAACAAGGGTGGTGTGTAAATTGGTGGCTTGAGTCTCATTGTCATCACTGATCTAGGATAATACATTTGCTGCCATTTGTTATTTTACACTGAAAGACCTCTGGTGTGGCTTGTGATACTCATACTGATTGTTTTTTTTCTTTGCAGTGACTCTATAGCTGCTTTCAGACATGCACCTGACGGCACAGTTCGCCCAAATTTTCTTTGGCGGGTGGGGGGGTGCATGTGTGAATGCAAATGTCAGAGTGAGATGCTCCATAGTTTCTACTTTATCCATCTGACCTCTGAGTATAATGTTCATAGGAATCCAGGAGAAGTCCCTGTGTGAACACAGCAGGGGATCCCCCACTGGATTCACTGCGAGTGAGTGGAGGACTCGATGCTTCAAACACGCAACAGATGCAAAAATAAAAATATACAAAGAGAACAAATATCTCCAGGTGAAAAACAAGTGTCACACACGTAGAAGACACTGACAAAGACCCAATGGTTTTTGAGATACCCTGACTTTTAATGCAAGTCAAACAGCAGGTTGACATTCTTGTTTTTAGTGAAATGTCTTGACAACTACTGGGTGATTCAGCTCTGCTTGAGTTTGACTATTAAAAGATTACTAATGAGTTGGGAATAACTATTAATTCTAAATTATGAATGTAGCAACAGTTAATAGCCATTAATTATTATCAAAAGGCAGGGCCTGAGGTGGTCTGCTCTTGGTGTCATCACAGCTACATCACAAAAAATGCCTCAGGGTTCCTGTTTCCAGACGGCAGAGTTTGAAAATTAAGCCTGGGATGCAATAGCAAGGATTACACAGAACAAAGTAAACTCAGACCTTCCAAACTTTACTTGCTATAGTAAATAAGTAAATTAACCAAAAGTCCCAAAGCGTCAGAACTCAGAGGATAAGGCACAGGTCATACACAAGGAAAGGCTTAGAAAATACAAAAATGGCTGGAAAGCTACTGGTCTACTGGTAAAACAAAGATAATCTGGCAGCGAAACACAGATGACATAAAGACAAGGATGTCTGATTGGATAATTGAAAATCAATGAACAGAAAAAAGTGCAAAATTAATACAGGAAATAAAGTTATGTATGGTCCATAGTGTCCATGAGAGTCATCACAGAGCCAAACTTCAGCAGGTGAGATTGTCTGGATTTGTAGCTGTTTCACTGTTTGAACCGTTACAGAATTAGAAAAAACCTTGAGTCAAGCCTTGGTCTAAAAAGTACATGGCCTGAGATCTCAACATTAAATTCATATTGCCTCTGCATTGAATTAGAAGTGAGGCAGGTTATGTTCTTCTATAAACTGTATAGTGCTCCCCTGCTCAGGGTTCAGGGGAAAACCACTCGCTTTTCAGCATTCTTTATTAAACTAATTTAAACTCACAAATCTCTTAACTTACAGTGGCCAGCAATTTCTGCAGGCCTCCACCTTTTCAGCTCAGGTCTGTCTCTCATGAAGTCGCTCTCCTCTGTGTGGCAGCTCAGCTCCGTCTGTAATTAAGATACTGCCGTTTGAATCCAGGGAGGGTTAATTGGACAACTAGTCTTAGCTGTGTCTCTCCCTATTGAAGGTTCTCACTGAGCCACCTCCACAATATTATTGTTATTGTGTGTGTATGTGTTGAGGAGAGTTGGGGATGGTGGTACTCCTGGCCTCTATGCGATTATGTCCTCAATGTGCAAAGCAGCTGACAGTGAAATGAAATGATAGTCCTTCAGTTTGTCTCTGGAGACACGCCCCCCCACTCAGCTCTCCACCACCTGCCACAGCTCTCTCTCTGTCTGTCTCTCTCTCTCACACACACACACACACACACACACATTCACTGCTAACACATGAATGGACCTTTGGTATAATTAACAACATCTTTACATCTATAAATATCACTTCTTATTCTCGTTTTAACAACTTATCTGTCAGACCTGAAACATGATGGTCACACAAGTGTTCCTGGTCTCTCTCTCCTCTCTCCCCTCCTCCCTACCCGGTCGAGGTAGTTGGCCGCCCACATTGAGTCTGCTCCTGCTGCAGGTTTCTTCTTACTGAGGGAGTTTTTTTTCTCCACAGTCACCATAGTGTTTGCTCATTGTTTGAACTGATTTTCTAAAATTGTTAAGGTCTTGACTTTCTATGTAAAGTGCCTTGAGATAATGAATGTAAACATTTGGCGCTATACAAATCAAATTGAATTGAATTAAATAATGCACATATACAGAATGATCTCAAACACAATTTGCATTTACACACACCGATAGAAGATAGACAGTCCTGTGTGTACGACTGATTTCATGTAACAAAATAAGACAAAAGTGCTAATGTAATGCATATTACTACAGCTTTCACTTGCTGTGGATGCACAGGAACTTCTCATTTCAAATAGACTGCACCATCAATAGCAAATCCATGGGCAGGTCTCAAGATGTTGAAGACTAAGATATGTACGGGTCTTTGTAATAACAGCAGGGGAGGGGTTTTCTCCACCTCTACATGTTTATACGTTGGCTTTGCTTGTAAGTAAGATTACGCAAAACATTTTTTAGGGGACTGCTATTGATAAGTATATGCAATACAGTGGAGCTTGATTGAATTTAAGGGGACTGTTGGGCCTCGGTGGCGCTCTTCTGAGTGCCAGTATGTTGTTTTTAAATTTGTTTGTTTTTTACAGGCACGTGCAGAACAGATGCTAGCCATTTTTTAGGTGGATCTAATGATAAAGCTAAGCATAGCATGTCAAAGTGATGGTACTTGCTGTCACAGCTAGGGGGCACTGTGACTATTTTAGTATATTGGCATGGAGATGTGTTCTGGCTATGACCCTTATCACACATATGAAGTTAAAGGGATTAATTTGCAAACACATCCATCTCATCCTCTATGTGACGGGGAGACAGTCTTTAGCCTGTCTCTGCCTAATCCGTCCACATTATGATACCTGGGACCAAATGGGAAGACGGACGGTTGAGGAGCATCAGGGACGTATATTCATGAGCTGCTGAGCTGCAGGTGTTACTCTGGGACTGATGGGACACCTGAGATGTGACAATTGGCCTCAGGGAAGGGATATATCATATCCACGTTTGTCCACCTGCTGTCTTTTAAAAAAACCTTTCTCTCTATATTTTCCAAAATTATATTCTTGCATGTATCTCTGTTGTTTCATGGTCCCCACAGTGTCCCTCCCTAACGTCACCTCCTTCACCTCCCTCTCTTTTGCTTCAGTCATCTCCTGCCCCCCCCTTCAGTCTCCTGTCGGATTTCATGTCATCGCCAATAGTTTAACTCTCTCTTAATTCTCCTGCCATCCTCTCATTCTGCTGCTCTTCACTCCATTTCATATCATGCTCCTCATTCAAATTGGCTTCAACAATTACTTGCATGTGAATGTTTCCTTTCTATTTCGTATTACATAGAAAATTCCTGTTTAAATTGAATTTCTGTGGTGGCATTCACAATGACGGGATGTCTGAAAACAGATAGGCCCATCAAGGCAGCTCAGCTGTGGTTAACAATGCAAACAGTGTGCTCTAACCAAAGGTCCAGTGCAGGACACAATGTATTTTTATCTGACACTAACACACTCAGCCTCTGTTTTTTTGCCTATTTAACCACATGCACACAAGTATGCACACACACACACACACACACTCTGCCAGATGTCCTTCCTACTTCATCCTCATCCTCCTCTCTCTCATCCCTGTGAACTTGCACTGAAGGTCAGGATTCACAAAGAGAGAGAGTGAGCCACGACAGACACATCTACAAAGTGAACAGAGGTTTTGATGTGGTGTGTAATCTTCCTCAACATTACTGAGACTGTGCACCGCACTTCCTGGGCCAGATGTTTGTTTCCATCCCTCTACCACAAGTGTTCTTTGATCTGCAGAAGAATCACAATTCAGGACATGCATTCTTCAGAGGCTGCATGATCACAGCGGTGCAACTATAGGCTGCCCCACTCCCCTTCATCCCCAATAAACAGTCTCCAACAGGTGGATCCTTGCCAGTCCAATGTATCCCAGGGTTCATATGGTTTCGGTCTGATTTTGGTTTCACCTTTGCGGTCTACACGGCCCAGAAAGGAGGGATGCAGCCCCTGAATTGAGACACACACACACACACACACTTGAACATCTTTTCTTACCTGAAAAACTACATGTGGTGATTTGCAAATCAATACTGTAATTATTCTTTCTTTAATAGAAGACAGTAAAATGTATACTTCAACTTTGGCAAAGAGCACAGATAAAAACACTCACTGTACATTAAATGTGACTCCACAAATGGAGGCAGTAACAGATACACAGTCACCTCAGAGCAGAAAACACAGAGAAAAATTACACAAGATTAACTGTTGGGTTTTTTTCTTCAAATGACAAAAGCATGATAGAACGTTTAGAGAAACAGATATTTAAAATGCCATTACAGCGTAATTCCCCTTCAGTGATAAGCAGACGTGATAGAAGCACGCATAACACCAATACAATATAGTGCCATGTCAGAAAATTACCCATACAATATCACATATATGATCACATATGCATTTCTTCTCTTAGCTCTATATTCCAGCACACTGGACTTCAAATGAAACACTGACTGGGCTGAAGGACTGACTCTCAGCTTTGAGGGTATTTGAGTGAGTAATCAATATTGGGGTAACAGTAGAAGTTGTAGCTACGTAAATATGTATTCAAAGGAATACAAGCTAGACAGTTGTGCTGTGTGGACATAACTGTGAAGTAATCGAATTGATTCAAAGCCATGAGTCAGCACTTTCAAGGATAAGGTTGTGTATATATATGTCATTGTCAACAAATCCCAAAAAAGAATCACTCATAAATTCTTCCAATACTTTCTGATTTACATAATCTTTAAACTATAACTATTTTCTGAAGAGAGGCATATTTTCTAAAAGAGCAGGGCTATTGTTTTTCAAAAAGTGTATTTGATGGACAGTCTACTGTGTGTGTGTGGTCTAACTATTACTCATGTTGCTTATGGGGATACTAAGCAAGTCCCCATTACGTAAATCATTAAATGTAAACATGAAAACATGTTTTTAGGTTACGTTAGGTTAAGGTTAGGTGGAGATTAGTGTAGGTTAAGTTAGGTTTAGGTTAGGGTAAAGGTAAGGCGAGTAGTTACTATGGTTAAGGTTAGTCTCAAGGAAGTCATTGTAATGTCTTGTGAAGTCATGGAGACGCGACAGTGTGTACGTGTGTGTGTGTGTGTGTGTGTGTATGTGTACGTGTGTGTGTGTTGATAGTTGTGATGTTTCGATAGTTTGTGTGTTTTTGTTCATGAGATTCATTTATGTATGAAATGCTGTGTCTATAATTGGCTGTTTCTGCTGTTGACCAATCAGAGATAAGCAGGCAGGATTAAATATGGGAAGATTATCTCATTACCACATTATTAAAAAACCAGCTGTGCACCTACAGAGATGACAATTTGACATTTTGTTTGGTTTTTGATTGTTGTGAAAAATATTTGAGTTTGCTGATCATATCAATAGCTGAAAAAACTATGATGGAGCAAATACACAACATGGTACTGAATGATCCAGTCAAACCAAAATAACATTTCCAAACAATGACAAAACAACATGGCTACCTGAATTAATTAAATTGAATAAAAGGTAATTTTTGTCTATGGATTTGTTGATGATAAGAAACATATAGTACATCACCTACCTCATCCTTGAACTTAAAATTTTATATCTAATTGACCACAATCCAATCCAGAACTAAATAGAGCAAATACCTCAACACTATAGAGTCACTGAGTGTGAAAATATAAATAAAGCTGTGGTAAGGCAGACCACAGTGCAAGGCTAAAGGAGAAGCATAAAACAGTGGACGTGACTAAACTAATAACAAGCGGCTCATCCTCAGCCAAGCGGCAGATAAAGCAATGGTATTTTGTTTCCAGACACAGAGAGAGGTATGTAACCATTTGTATAGTAACAGGCACTGGTACTGTAAAATGTCTTTTCATGGCACAGAGTCTGCATCTTCCCTCAGAGTCCAGTCACTTTCACACACAGTCATAAGTTCCACCTGGTGTGATACTGTACATCTTTTCATGGGAAAGTAATTTCACAACACGACACAGATACAGATATATTGATATCACCGTTAAAGGTTAGTTTTCTTTTCAGCTCAGAGTGTCACATTCAAGTTAAGGTTCACACTAGGGAAAGATGGGCATTTTGTACAAGATGAGGAAAACAGAGTACGGTAGGTCGACTATTCTCACAACACGACACTGAGCCAGGCTGCAGCGATTGCACATTTTGACATTGTTGCAGAGGCTGTTTTTTTTAACTGCAGTCGAGTTAACACTGAAAACAATTCTTATAAAGTGGCTCACATGATGTGTTTACTCTGGATGAAGCGCCATCTACTGTATATGTGTGAATAACACATTTTAATGAATGAAGTGCTCTCTCAGTGACACTCAGATGTAAGGACGTTGAATCACTATGTTGTGGGTGGCACTCTCAAAACTAATTGACTTGAGCATGCACCAGTGTCACTGATGTGACAAACCTTTATATCTTCACCCCAGTTAATGGTGAGTCCTGCAAGCACATGTTTGTGTGTGCATGTCCTTGTTTGTGCGAGGCGTTTCTGCATGTGCTTGCCTGGTTGCCCTCTCCTCTTCTTTGCTGTAATTAGCATGATTGGAGAGCGAGGGAAGGATAGAAACGCAGGAAGAGATGGTGCTGATGAGACTATTCATCCCACTGTGCAGCCTGCCTGGCGCCTCTTCTCAGCAACAAGCTGGCATCTTTTGTCTCCATCGCTACAGCTCTCATCAGTGACGGCTACGTGAGTGTGTGTGTGTGTGTGTTTGAGAGGCAGCGAGAGTGAGCGCCTGCAGAACGTTCATTTAAGGAGCACTCGTTGAACAAAGTTGATTAGACATTCATTAAACCCCCCCAGCCTCTCGTTCACCTGCTGCACTTGACCCCTCCAAGTGATGGGCGGATGCGGGAATATACTTGTGGATGATTCCTGCCTTGTTGGTTACCATGAGTGTACAGCAGTCAAATGAAAAACGAAATAACTGAACTCATTGTGCGCTACTCCTCTACTTCCTCTCTGGTTCAGACAGCTGATGCTACATTATAATTTACTTTGCTCATAATATCAAGACTTATTCCCCTTTGAGAAGTGTAGGGAAATCATGTCCATAACAATTGCTTTACTTTTACACCAAACCCATTGTTAGAATGTTGTTGCAAACACACACACAAACGGATGCACGCACGCACGCACACATGCACATACACACACAGTGCTGTGAATCCATAAATCACAACTCCTGCCAATGTGGTGAAAACGACACAGATGTGGTTCTGTTGGCTACATCAGCACGTGACCTCTTTTTCGCACTAGGGAGGTTTGAAGCCAGTTTTGCAAGTGGTTGGGATGAGAGTCAGCACCAAGTCCGGGGCCATGGTTCTCTGCAGGAAAAGGATTGCTCTTTCCAGTTTGGAGGTGAGGTGCTGCTCCAAGTGAAGGAGTTTAAGTATCTCGGAGTCTTGTTCAGGAGGGAGGGGTAGATGGAGCATGATATGGACAGTGGCCGTGAGCAGGAACATAGGCGTTGTCTCAGACCATTGTGGTGCAGAAGGGGCTGAGTTACAAGGCAAAGCTTTTGATTTACCGGTTGATCGGCATTCCAGCCCTCACCTACGCTCACAAGCTCAGGGTCATGACTGAAAGAACGAGGTCATGAAAACAAGCGGCCAAAATCACTTTTCACTGTTGAATGGTCGCGCACAGCTATATAGAGATAGAGTGAGGAGTTCAAACATCAAGTGGGAGCTCGGAGTAGAACTTCTGCTCCTTCATGTAGAAAGAGGACAGTTCAGGTAGGGCATCTAGTTAGGATGCCTCCGTTGGAGGTCATGGGCACGTCCAATCAGGAGGAGACCTGGGGGTAGACCCAGAACTCACTGGAGGTTCTACATATCCCATCAGACCTGGGAAAGCCTCAGAATCTACCAGGAGGAGCTGGAAAGCGTAGTTACAAAGCTAAATAAATGCAAAACAATAGATGGATTGATGAATGGTGATGACAAACTAAAAAGATCCTCTGAAAAAGCTCTTTAAATAAATCAAACAGACATCTCAAAATAACTACTTAATTTCTTAAAGTAATGAGAACATTTCTCAAAAGAATAAAATTAAACTAAGCTGACCCCAGAGGTTTTTTAAAGTGATTCCTGCAAAACGTTACAGGATCTTTTTTTCATCACATTGGCAGAAATTGACTTTAATAATTTAATTAAATAATGGATTATAGACTGCATCTTTCCCACCCCCCAAAAAAGGCACCTTATCTCGTCTTACTGAAAATGAGGTGGGTGTGTTTCAGGGTTGTAAGAGTGAACGCGTCTCTGCAGAGGAAACTGAACTATTATGGGCTAAGTCAAAGTGCAGAGTCACTGTGTGTAACAAGCAAAGTCTACACCAGTTGTGCATCTGCCTACGTGGCAGTAATTATTTCTGTGACTGAATGCTCAAATAAACGGCTGAAAAGTTCCTCATGATGGAAATGCACCAACATTTCACTAGATCACACCTCATTTAAAGAACAACACACCTTTGGGTGCTTGGATTTATTTGCAAATTAAACAATGTGGGCAGGATAATCTGAATTTTCCTTTTATAGGGCCTGCTCTTACTGTATTCCTCAACTTCGTGTTCTTATTCTCAAAGGAAACCTGGATATGTACTCAAATAAACGAAGCTTCAGAACATAACCACTGTCCAACCTAATGTGCATTTGTAAATAAATAATTAGACAGTTTGGGGTAAAACATCCTCTTTTCCAAATTAAATTAGTTTTGAATGGAGGGTCCAATGAGCAATCACTAAATCTGGTGTACGACCATGTGTTAGCTTGCTGCATCAAAGCCAGAGATTTATGATCATGAAGTCCAGTAGTGCAATTTCAGCATCTGAGTCATTTCTGAATTGATGACTTGGCCAGGACATCAATTTTCCAAAAGCTCAGTGGGCTGTATTATTTCTCTATTCAAGCCTTGATGAAATATTAGAATGTCATTGAAAGAGATGACGAGTCCATATTTTATATATGCAGTCTAATGTTTTTTCTGTGCCCTTCATTTTCTGTCTGCACTGAAATTGACCTCACGTTCCCTTAGTGTTGTTGATTATGTTTCCATGTCACCCAGACAATGTTATGGTGAGCCTTGTACGTGCTGAATAAAGTGATATAATACTGAGTGTCATTGTAATTCCAATAAAGTCAAGTTGCCTCACCTCTGCTCCTCAGTTTCATGTCAGCTGACTGTGGAATTTATAACAACAGGCTTTGTGTGCTGAGAATAGACCCGGCGTCAGGCGGATGAATGTTGCGCTGTGTGTGTAATGATTGGTGTCAACAGGTGATCATGCTACATATGTGAGTGCATGTGTGGTGCAAAGAATATCAACCTCGAAATATGGCGCGCGAGTCTCACATATTAATCCTGATAATAATGTGAGACCACTGACTTCATTTCCTATGCAAAAACTCTGAGACGTACTTACTCACATCGTCTTGTGTCCTTGTCTGATACTGCCTCACTGTTTAGAGCAGATACGCCTGTGTGTTTATGTCACAGCAAATATGCAAATCTTGTGGATTTAGTTATTAATCTCACTGCAGGATATTTGTAGTAAAATATTCTGGCTTCAACTTCCCTTATGAATTATAAAAATAATTTTGAAACAAGTTGCAAGTGACTATCTTGAATATTGTGAAGGAAGTTTGGCTGATATGATAGAATGTATAAAGTTTGTTGAAACTATTTGCCACAGTATTTAGTCAGTTTGACGAAGAATGTGACACAGGCTTGCATTCAAATCCCCTGCCAAGATTTGTGGTAATATGTTCCTGCGTGTGTGTGAGTGTGTTTACCTCTGTAGGAGGGTAAAGACTATTTGTCACAGTGAGCTTCCATAGCCCATGTTTTCTAATCATCCTTTTCCTGGACCCCAGCAGAGTGAGCTGCTCCCATGCTCCCTTTGCCCTTTTACAGACATCATGCTCATCCGCAAGGCACATCATTACACATTAGAGAGCTACACTCTAACAGTCGGCCCATCAAACCTAAAACTAACATGCGTCTTGCGTAGCGGGATGACATTTAGGAAAACAAAAAATATATAATGCGAGTATATTTGCTTTCAGACATGCTATGAACACTGAGGAATCTCCTGACATTCTCTGGGGCTGTATATGAGAACGCAAATGTCGGAGTGAGGCTCCTGACTTTCTCTAGCTAGCTAATAAGAATTCCAGATAATGTTCAAGTGAGGCCATGAGAGAACACAGCAGAAGATCCTCCAGATTATTAACTGCGATAGAGTAGGCGCATAGATTACATGTTTTCACACGAGACAGACGCAAAACAGGAAAGAAAACATTCCAAAAGTGATTCAAATATCTCAGTGCTATACACGTAGAAGACACTGACAAAGATTTTTAAAGAGCTTTTGGTGATAAGGGCCTGGGTCGATGTGCTGTACACAAAAACATGTGATCTCCGCAGTCTGAACGGAGAAACTCCTGCTGCGTTGTTGTGAGTCTGAAAACAGCTTATATAAACGGGGTATAGATTTAGTCACCTACAGAACCACAGAGTGCAGGTCCGCAGTGACTTAAACCCAACAGTGAATTGATGCACACAAACCAAAGACACATGGATGTGAGGTGTAAATGTAATCCAGTTGATTCACTGCACAGGCATGTTAGTGCCAGGTGGAAGGACAGAGCAGCTATATAAAGAGAGCAGCAGGTAATTGAATTCAGGACACGGCCAAGAAAAGCTGATAGAGGTTAGACTGACAGGCAGCTGTTGGGACAGTTATTACTGTGAAAGTGAATTGATTCTTAAGGAAACTGAGACATTTCATCTGCTGTGCTTTGCCGATCAATCTGACAGCTACCTGCTAGAGCTGTCTGGGTTTAGTGGAGTCACGGAGGACAGTGTTGGACTCACTGGTCACTTTATCTTCTGGTGAAATGCTTGCGTTCACTTGAGGCTCACTGTTGGCGTCTTCAGAATCTGAAGCACCACCACCACTTTCAAAGATGATGCTCCAAGCTCAGATGGAAGCTGAGCCAGATGCCGCAGGTGATTTCCTGAACATTTCAGCAATGTCGGCAGGTGATCCTTCAGCCAGACAGCTGAAGGAGTGCACTGACGTTGAGGAACTCCTGCTCGGGGAGATGAAGTTGACATTCTAATCATCTCTCTCTCTCTCTCTCTCTCACACACGCACACACACACAAGCAAACACACGATTTCCCTGCTACAGGTGAAAAGAACTTCCTGTAAACTTCCTGTCTCCTCCAAGAGAACACCCCTTTATAAAACGGGAGGCTGCTGTGTTCAGAGCATGCTGTTCTGCGGATACAGCTCCTCTCTAAAATAGACAGTGTGAAGTCACACAGCTTGTGTGAGTGCGGATGTGTGAACCTTCTCCCTGCTCCGGGAGAAGGCTGGTGACAACCAGAAGCTTTGACACTTGGAGGCGTCTGCTTCGGTTCAGCATTTGAATTGGAATGTGCACAAGTCGTTGAAATGAACATTGTCACATTGTGGCACAGAGCAAACCTCTCGTATGCCGGTTGATCATCAACTGCCAGAAGTGGGAGTAGTTTACACGAGGGCATCTTGGACTTAACAGGACTTTCAATGGACACGCTAGAAATGTAGTCATCAAAAATTCTGTCACAGTCACTTGCAGACAGGCTCACACATTCACGCTGTACTTTTGCATGAACACAGGCAGGCAATGTGAACAGTCAACTCATACTCTCGCTCTGCTGTCTGTGTGTTTGTGGTCTATTCCTGCTGGTTGTTACTGGAGTAGAAACTGGACGTCTCTGACACCGTTTTGGAAACGCTACGGGATGATGACCCATTGGAGGTCAGGTCCAGGGAGGAGCTATGTGGCCTGGCCCCGACCGGAGCTCCACAGGGCCCTGGACCTGCCATTGCCTTGACCTTGGGCTGCTCCATGTCGTCCCCGACCTGAAGAATAGTAGACACTGTGCTTTCCATCCGACTGGTCTTGTAAACGCTGGTCTGGGTCTGCAGGTAGCGAGTGGACTTGAGTTCAAGGCCTTCGTACGAGCCTTGAGGGACACAGGGGCAACAGCGGAAGGCTTGTTTGAAACCAGCACGAAACCTGAACATGAAAAGAAGCAAGGATTAGTCTTTATTTATTTTGTTTAAATTTGAATTTACCACTGTGACTAAAACAATAGTCTACAGCAGTAAACCATGATGATTCATTCTCTTCACAGTCATCGGAAGGCAGCAGATTACTGTACCTGCATCATCTGTAATCCCAAGTACAACACACATCTGTATACTGGGTAACTTTACTAGATCAAGTTTTTGAAAGATTGTTGGAGATGGTGACACGGTCAATGCTAAAACATAGCATAGAAAAAAGAAAAACCAAGGAGAGAGTCAGTGAAGTAGCAGAGTAGTGTCAGATATACAGCAGTATCTATCTGAAGGTTCTGACATTAGCCAGCAATTGCCCCTTTAAGCAAAAAGTCATAACAGACCATGATAGAGCTAGCAGCATTTCACAGCACAGAGCCCATCGGCTATCATCCGGCGAAGAATTAGCCTCTGGGGGCTTCAACCAATATTTTTAGACAGTGTAGACATAGATATCCAGGTCAAGACTCCATGTTCTGTTTGATGTACACTGTTAACAATCCAACTACTTTGTTTTATCACATAAGTCAAGCATTTCTCTACACAAACACTAACAGTGATACTTTTTGTAGGGGTTGTAGGTCCAGATGATGTTTTGTCTTATCTGAAGAAACAGCTATCTTCATATGAATGCAGATTAAAAGGCAGATATCTGATGCATTTAGGTCAATGTGTTCCGCATCTTTTGCTCTCCAGCTGTTTAATTTTATCAGGCGGCCTCTAGAGGATGTAATATTTATGATAGGAGCAAACGAGTCAAGTGACTAAGTGTAAAGAGAAACATTTTTGGGTCAACAAAATATAGGACTTCTTTTATCCATGACTACACAAGTGACTTTATTTATTGTTGTAACCATGACAATCAAGGTTTGCTGCATCTGTTTTTCTATGGGTGCAGGGTACAGGAACAACAACCAGCATGTTTCAGGTTTGGAGGACTTCAGGTGATAATTGACAAATAGTTTTTACATTGTTGTTTGAAACATTGATATTTATGAAATATTAACTTTAGCTGTACTAACATCCAACAGCAACAGCATCCACCCAGTGCTCCATAACTCCTACAGATCATAGATAGCAAAAACCACTCATGGGAGCACAACTCACAACAATTTGTTAGAAGATTATAAAATGCAGTTTTGTATAAATCACAGTGATCCTAAACCCAATCAGTGTTTGCATCTTCAGCTGACAGCTATTTTTTCCCACTTCACATAGTCAAACGCAGCAAGTCTGGAAATCTTCCCAGTCTGACAACACTGTTTACAATATGCCACAGCTTGACATGTAACAGAGAGTGTGGGGGAGTGACTCATTCAGTGTTTGCATTCTGATTAGGTGTTTGTTGAGTGTGTACAATGGCTTATAGGGAAGAAAGAATAGGCAGAGAGCAAAGATTGTTTGTAATTCAGGCATTTTAATACTAATGAGCACAAAATGTTGCATGTGGCATTTACTGATGACCTTTATTGGTCGACTCATTTCACCAGCTCTTGATGTTTTGCAGGTGCTGCTTTCGTTGCGTGGAAATGAAACCACAGAGAGAAGGCAATGACAGGAATAAATATTTTGCATCGGAAATGTAGATATCCCTTCGGAAAACACAAGGGGAATAAGGGAAAATGTAAATCGCTGTGAGCAGAAAGGATGCAAAGATGAGAGGAGAGGTCCACCATCGTTCAAACATTTGAATTTAAATCAGCTGAACTATAGAGACAAGTCAGTCAATATCCTGTACCAAATGATGACTAAACCTCAGCTCACTGTGGTCCAACCCACATATTTTCATTTTTAGGAGTTGAATACATTTCAGAGGCGCAAAAAGCCGAGTGTGAAATCTCATTTCTCTGACAGCACAAAGACAATAAACAGGTGGCTGCCGCGGGGAGACAATGGCAGATGATTGATTACAAAAAACAAGCAGAGCTGACCATCTGCCTTTATTTTGCCAAAGAACTATCTTTAAATTCATTAACATTTCTGTTGACAGACTGAATGCTGATCACTCTTGGTGTTCACAGTCAGTTTCTTAGAGATGGGTTTGAACATTTGTTTATTCATATTTCAGTCCATGTGTGGAGGCCTCATAGATACAGGGAGTTTCTCTACACACAAATGGTCTTAGAGTGAGTGTAACAAACTTTTTATCAGCTTATCGCTAAGGCAGAAGCTAATACAATCTTACTGTGTGTGTGTGTCAATGGCTAATATCCTGAAGGTCAGTAAACAGGAAAGAAAATTTTCTATTTTTAAAGGTTTGCAATCTTTTCCATGGGATGCAGCTCTCTGCACTCCAGACACTCCTATATATATTTACAGCTAATTGGTATTGATTTACGTTTTTTCACTCTAATGTGATTGGTTGACCTTCAGTGCCATCTCAGGTACAGCTGCCGTCACTGACTTACTTCTGCGGAGGTCTGAGCATACGGCGGCTTCAAGTGGAACTGCGGCAAATCCATCAATTTGTATACAAAAGCAACCTTTCACAAGAAAAAAAGAGGATAAAGGAGCTTGTGTCCGGACCGACCTGATTTACAAATTCAGCAGCTCGACGAAGGCTTTGCATATTGTGTGTTTGGTTGTCCCCCCAACACTGCGCCCACCCAATCAATTTTATTACCAGCAGCCACTGATGGACAGTACTCATAAATGAGATGTCTTCTAATGACCTTCTCTCTTGAGTCAAAATAAAATTCATCATCAGACAGGGATAATATTGGATGTGCACCGCAAAAAAAATTAATCAATTAATTGAGTTATGAATGTTAGGGATAGTGTCACACAAACAATGCATCAAAGGACATAAGGGTAAATTGATATACAACACTTTTGACTATCTTTTTGACTACTCACACTCACACACACACACTTTTGTCTGAAGTGTCTTCCTGGAAATGAAAAAAAACAGTGCTGGGAGGTGGGGGTGAGACACGCCTACCTATTTTACCTTCCTCACACACACCCACACACACAAATTAGCTTGCTGAAGCTAAGTCATCTACATTGTTTAGCTATGAACATTGACACCAGTTGTATTTCTCTTCTATATTTCTGTGTTATTTGATAATTTGCGACTGATAGATTATATATTAAAGAAACCAGTAACAATCTATTCAAAGGCAACCTTTGTGTGCTAGCACTGACACTTTTTTGAAAAATGGAATGAAATGAAAGTAACACATACATAAGTAATGAGACAGTTGTGTTAAATCCAATTATGTTAAGTATTAGTTCAAAGGGACCGGCATAGTGAGGATGCCGTTACCTCCACTGCCTCACTTAGGCGGCACTAGCTGACAAGCTCATCCACTGTGAGGTTTGAGTTCCGATAGGCCATTAATTGAATAGTCATTTTCTCCCATGTTTCTCTTTGACCTCCAGGCACCAAGATGTAATCAGTTCATCTTTGAGTCCACGTGAAAGTGTGTATCAAATTTGAAGACATTCCCAGAAGCTTTTCTGAGGATATCATGTTTAAGAAAAAACATTAACATACTTTGTGAGGCCATCCTGACCTTGAACCGAAAATATAAAGCCTCCGGCCACTGGCTGTCACCGGCGCGGAGCCAAACAACGGAAAAATATGGCTAAATGTATTTAACTTTAGAATTTTGAGCAGCTCTGTCAGTTTCACGTTGTTCTAAATGCTGACAAAACAACACTTATGTTCTTTACCAGCATTGTCAAAAAAAGACAAACTTATCTTTTGTACCTTTTCTTGAGAAAAAAGTGAAGATGTGATGTAACAATGACAACGGAGAATGCCTCAGCTCATTGTCTTCACATGCTGGATAGTGTTTAACATGGGACTTATTACAAACTGTCATTCTCTTACACACCATTGTCTATTTGAATTAAAAGCAAATTAAACAGGAAGTATGGAAGTCATAACCTTCATTATATCGACAACTTGCTATTTGTTGTTCCAAACGTCCTGACTGAATTAGGAAAGGAAGCTTTTAGGTTTTCAGCACCAAATGCATACAATAAATTACAGATTGATTTTCAGTGACTCATTGAGTCCAGCTTCTCTCTGTACAAGTGTTTTATATGATCAAGTTTAATTACTTTTACTGTTGAAATTGTGTTACTGCTGTTCTTCCTTGTAGTCACCATTATAAACCTCAGTGGGAATAACCTGATTAAATAAAGGTTAATCTTAATTTGAGAATTTGAAGATGGTGAATAAGACATCAATATGTTTGTGAGTGTGTGGCAGTGCTGACCAACCTGTCGTTGAGGCAACAGTAGATAATGGGGTTGTACATGGTGGAGCTCATGGCGAGCCACATGATGGCCAGGTAGACCTGCTGGATGAACCTCTCCTCAAACATATAAGGGAAGAACTGGTGCAGCAGGAAGTAAACATGGTAGGGCAGCCAGCAGATGGCAAACGTACACACCACCACGATCATCATCTTCACAACCTGTTGGACACATGAAAGCACCATCTTATCTTCATTGTTTTGCTTCCTTACTTCATTCAAGATTAGACCAATTAAGAAAGCATCAAATAGGCTAAAGGGTTAAAGGGATAGTTCAGCGAAAAATGAAAATTCACTCATCATCTACTCACCACTATGCTGATGGAGGGGTGGGTGAAGTACAATTTAGATGAAAAGAACTAGTGAAACATCATGAGAATTATTCTACATTAAATTTCTGCCAATAGATCCCTTTCACCTAAATCTTACACACTGGACCTTTAAAGCATGGACAGAATGGTATTGCTTTACTTTATTCAGATGCTGCAGATCTCATTTCAGGAAATGAACATGTCCTAACCTGTCCTAAATTAAATGTACTTGTTCCATGAATAATGTATAATGCATGCAGTATAAAATCTGTCCAAGAAAACCATCCATCACAACAGTGTTACAGGAAATATTGTCAGTTATTGGTTCTCCAGATGATGAGAGTGCTGCAGTGCAGTGAATGTCTCCTCTGAAGACTCAGCATTCAGCTTCTCAATCCTTTAAAATGCCTCTGTTAGGCCAACATTTGGCAACAAATCTGTCTGTCCACAAAAAGCTCAGCTGCTTTGAACAATTCATCCGTCAAAATGGAAATCTAATGCACAACGACACGTCATTAGCACTGTCAGTTATAGACTGCTCACCGACAGCGATCTGAAAACAATGCATATGGACAGATGTAACAGATCTGTGTTGCTCATTAGAGTAAGAGGTGAACTGATGTCCTACACAGGTACCACGATCAAAGATATTGTGCAATCACACACAACTGTCAAACACAACCTCCTAGAAAGTCTACTGGTTTCTACATTCTAACATTTTCATGGACACACCATTGCATTTATCTATTTGGTGAAATTAAACATGACTAGAAATGTAGAGTGATTTAAATGTAAGTAATAGCCCAAGGATAATTACACCTTCATTGAGTTTGTCCTGTACTGTGATTTAGTTAAAATGCTAACATCAGCAAGCTATAAGGTCACAATAACAGTGCTAACATGAAGATTTTTTACAGGTTTTTACTATGGGTACTATCTTAGCATTAGAATGTTAGAACATTTGATAAATAGTACTAAAAACTTGGTACAGCTGAGGTTGATGCCATTAGCTTTGAAGACATTAGAATTTCAACCTGATGATGGTGCTAAGTGAAAAATGTCACCAAGGATCAGCAAGGCTTATAGAATTCATCATGAGGGAGTCCCTGAACCAATCTATCCACTGAGACATTTTTCCCCAAACCGCAACTTTATCTGCAAGGTTATGGGGACGATTAGTGCCTGTACTCAACGCCACTACAATTGATCCAACATTTAATGAGACATTTTAGTCTGGAGCAAAGTGGTGGATCGACTGACAAACCTATGTTTCCATAGGGACATGCTGAAGTGTGGCTAGAGACCGATGAAGAAATATTTAAATGAATCAAAGCAAGACGTTATAATGGAGTATTGGGGCCATCTTTTGGACAAAAAGCGATATCTAGATAATAAAGTTGGAATGTTTTGAGAAAAAAGTCAGTCATTTTAAGATACATGTCATTTTACAAGAGTATTAACAGAAGATTAAATTACATTACATTTCACTGAGCTCACGGTTTTATCCAAAGTGACTTACAATAAGTGCATTCAACTATGAGGTTATAAACCCAGAACAGCATGAATCATAAAATTACAGATCCTTCTGTTGCCTCTGTATTATCAAAATCTATTGATGTTTTTCCTATCGTTATTCAAGAGCGTGGTCTTTCAGTTGGAGTGTGTTCGCTTTACTTCAGAGCGTCCCATGTGGGCAGTTAGTCTTTAACTGGATTTATCCATGGCTTTATTTGATGGAATTCTTTGTGACTTTTTGGATTAAAATTACAGGGGAAGTCCGTTTAATAAAGCTGTGGAGAGTGGGAGCGGATGAACCTGTTTAAAGAGTAACCGTCGGCATTGGACTCTCTGCAGTAAAGCGAAAGCGCCCGCAACATGGCAGGGATCATATCATTCATTTCATTGTTTGACCAGTTGTCAACACGACACTTGGCATTCTATTGTTTGGGGAATTTTGCGAGGGTTGTAGCACAAAAAAATCCAAGAGCAGAGAAGAAATCTGAGGGCAGACAATTCACAAACTGAAAGACCACGCTCTAGAATAAAGACAGGGAAAAACCTCCATAAAAATCAAAAAGAACATTTTTCGACATGGCCCTAATATGCCTTTGTAAGATATAAAGCAAAGAAGTGATCTAAAATACAGAAAACTAAAAAGAAACTGCTTCATATGCCAATGCTAGATAAAACCCCTCAGAGTAAATGTTGACAGGCTGACCTTGCCTGAGCTCATCAGGGCAGTAAAACCTTGACAAAAGGCAAGTCTCTGCAAGTCTCTTCATTGAATGGTATTCCACATGTGTGAATGCACCTGACCAGCATGGGCAGTGTAAGCTGACCCTAAAAAGTGAAAAAACAAGTAGGCGGTAGAGACGAGGAGAGCTGTTGGTGAAAACAGAGGATGAAGGGAAGTAAAGGTGAAAAGACGGCAGGTGTCCTGCAAAACCACAAAAGAAGAGAGGATAAAAGATGAAAGAGCCTGAGATTTAGATTCATGCTGCCATGAGGATTATTCATCACCAGAGGAAAGATTTAGAGTGACTTGGGCTGCTGTGTACAAAAGTGCATGTGACACGGTTGGAATAATCTGATTGGTCATTTAAAAGCTCTGCAACTAAGTGTCTGTTACCTTTCGTTTGGCGGTCAGCTGCTCCTTGTAGCGATCAGAAGAGTCACCAGGGATCTCGCTGGCCCAGAGGGTCAGTCCCACCACCAGATAAGCACAACCCATCACCAGCAGAGGAAGGAAATAGATGAGGATGGTCACACACACGTAGTACCTACAAGAAGACATACATCCCAGGTCACATATAAATCATATAAATAGTTTGCCTAAAGGAAAAACAAGGGTCGAGCTCTGGGTACCACTGGCTCCTCTGTACCCCCAGAAGAAGGGTTTTTATTAAGCAGCAGTAAACAGTGATGTGTTGGCTATTGATGTGCAGGGGCTTTAAATAAGGAATGACACGCTATAAAGCGCATACCTCCATCAAGACCCAACACATCCCTGCACTATTCCCTGGGAAATCTATAAAAATGCAAAAAATGATCTGCCCTTTGTCTGGACCCATGCCAATCGTTCTAATCATTCATTACATCTTGCAGCTTACTGCAGAATTTCATAAATGATCCTTTTGACGTCTAAAAATTCTTCAAATGCTCTTCAAATCAATAAAATGTATCCAAGGGTTCTTGCTAAATGGTCTGACCTTAAGAACACATCTTAATATGGAAGAAGATGTAAGTGATGTTTAGAACAACAAAACCTCAATAACACAATGTCAGTTGATTTTTTTTCTACCATTTATTCTACACGTTGACTTAGCTACTTGTTACTACAGACTGTTTTTAAAGATGGACGACATGAAAGCTGCCCAAGAGTAAAGCCAAAGCATGTTCATCACCCCCTGGTAGCTTGCTGCAGTATGGGAGATTAACCCTGCCTCCTCCATGTTAGTAGGCGGGACATGGACCAAATTAAAGTCAAAGTATATGTCATATTAATTTCTCTCAAAGGTGGTTTATGTCATTTTAGCTGGTTTTAATCATACCACCTTTGGTTTGAATTAGTTATTTGAAGCATACAAATTTGGTGAATTATCCTCATGGATATCCTGGCTCCGAACGACAATTACTACTGTGTACAATCTGGCTCCAAATGCTGTTATCGGACAAAGATGGCAGTGTTCTGATATTTTGGCTTAATTTCTGGAAAGTGGGAGGGAGTGGATATGGTGACTAAATTTATATTTAAATATAATCACTGTCAGATTATTGCTTATTTAATGTTTGGTAATTAAGTGGCAGTGGGCATCCTAGTTAAAAATGGCCTGTGAATCTATTTTCCAGCCTGTCAATCCACACTCACCCTGGAGCACTGACAGAGCAAGCAGCAAAATAAAAAGTTTCTGGTCGAAGGCTGACTTGATCGTCAGCAGTGTGTTTGCCAGAGGATGTGATTTAGGATGTCAGGATCAGCAGGAAGACCTCTGCTCCAATAACTGTCCAAAGAATTTAAGCCCGATATGAAATAATTAAACATGACAGTTTCAGCATCGAGCTAATGATTTGCTTATTCATCACAGACACAGTGTTTGATCTTGTTAACTACCTGTAAAATGTGTTGACAGTAGCATGCCTGGTCATTTGTTACATGGTTAGAACACGTGTGTGCGTTGTGGTCTGTGTGTGTGTGTGTGTGTGTGTGTGTGTGTGTGTGCTCATTAGCCGCAATTAAAATGTGGGAAATTGCATTAAATAACCGAGTGTGTATATTGTGTTTGACTGTGCTCAGATGGGGGTGATGACCCCATGACTCCAGTATCCATGGAGGGACAATCACTTTTCCCTTCTATGAATGCTGCAGACGCCCCTCACAGGCAGTTTCCTTGGCAATTAACTACAATTATGTTAATCCCACTGAATACACAGAAGCACAGGAGCTTTCATCATGGTAAAAACCACCACACACTGAGCGTATGTGCGCATGTGTGCACATATATATTTATGAAGAAGAAGCGGTATTACCCAGCAGAGGACATTGTGGATGGTTGATATCAGAGCTGCAACAGGTTTAGTCTTTAGCCTCAGGGGATCTCTATGCAATTAAAACTCAAGAGATATGGACACGTGTCTGCTTTATGTGTCAAACTGAGCAGTCCACTTTCATAATCAACATTTGCCAAAGCCAAATCAGTAGAAATGAAAGAAGTGTTGTTACAGAGGTTCTAAGAAAATAGAGTAATAAAATAACCCTCGGTTTTAATTTTCCTTAAAAAACAACCAAGAAAAATACCTCTCAACTCCACTCTGTGGTAAAGTAGTATTGTCAGTCTTTTCTTTTTTTAGGTATGCTGCTACTCCACTCAGCCTCTTCGTCCTCTTTCATCCAAATTACTATTGGCCTGCTTCTACATTAAGTGGAGGCAAATTAAAGAAAATTTATTAAATCAGCTGAAAGAGCTCCTAAGTGCTCATTAGTTTTTCCTGGGAGTTTTTGTTTAGCCATCATGAGGAAAGTTGTGTACGGTTCGCTACACACTAACTTGAATAAACATGCAGCCTTGATATCACAAATGACCAGAGAGGACTGTGATTTACTGACATTGGCCCTGAAAACTGCCCTGTTTTAACCCGGGTTTAGTCTTATCTAGGATTAATGCAGACTGATGAAGAAAATGAGCTGCCTGATCTCATTAGATGCTACATGGTCTGTAGGCTAACACAGACGTTTGTAATGATTTGGCTGATTAGATTATTTTGAGAACTCTTATAGCTGTGTTTCAACCACAGGCACTTTTCTACCTAACTAGGAATCTTTTTAGCAACTGCTTGTACAAATAATGTTCTCGGTAAATCTTTTTACACCTAAAAAAGTCCCTTGTTGCAGGGTATTATGCCATGTCCAAGTTAAGTACATGTAAAAAAAGTTTTGTGGAGCACCTTTAACAGGGCAAAGAGTCAAAAAGTGCTTCACCAAAGTAAAAATTAAACATTAAAGGAAGAGCAGACAGAGCATTCAACAGTGTCACAGCCATGACGTTAAATTAACAATCAACTTGTTAACTTGTATTTGTGTTTTTTGTAACCAAAGCCATTGTTTACATGTATCATGTTGCTCTTTGATTAATTTTTTCTAACCAAAATCCTTTTTTTGTTCCATATGTGAGAGAACGTTTCCTTATGTCTGAATTGCCCTACTAAATGAAACCATTGTTTCAGGGGATCTGTTGATGAAGAAAGCTAGATGCCAAAATGCGTCTGAGCTTTGTTTCTTAAGATCCACATGACCATGCCGTCACAGTAAAAGCATTTTAATGGCTACAAAGACAGTGCCTTGGAGTGTATTGTAATTTCTTTTCCCACATGTATCCTGATCTAAAGGGAACCTCAAACCAATTCACTTTGAGTCAAGGAGGCGATCTTTACCAAAACCTTGCCACAATCACCTTTTGGTTTAATCAAGTGCGAGAAACAATAAGACCTGGTCAGACGATCAAAGTGACCTGCTGGTGATATAAGGTCTCAGCAGGTTGTGGAAATGTACACAGGTACATGACAATGGAGTGCTCTTTGTGTGCGAACAAGAAACTCAAACTGAATCCTCAACATGGTCATGGTCAATGTAAAGAACACAGGATGTTTGGTTGTGGGTCATTGGATCTGGTCAGCAGCCTTGCAGCAACTTTCTACACAATTTGCAGATGGTCCAGTAACGACTTATCGAGGCAGGTGAAGAGTAAATTATACAACAGTAGCAGATATAAAAGCATGAATTTCATCTTTTGCTTGAAATGCAGATCCTTATCCAAAAGTACACCTTCTAAGTTCTTTCTCAGTGAGAGCAAAAATACATTGAGAAAACTTTGAAGTGAACCTATCTGGAGCTGTGATTGCTCAGTCTTATCACATAGTAGTAACTAGAATGGTACTCAGTAGTTTGCATACCCTCATCAACTGTCTAAAGGCCCAACAGTCCCCTTATCAAACCACATTTAAATTCACTAGATCCAGATTTTTATTTGAACATTCACCAAATTGCACACACTCATGAAAATGAAATCCACACACGCCTGAGTTCTTCTCTGAACAAACAACCAGCAGGTATTGTGATAATCCATCCGGCAGTTTTGGCATGAACAAACCAAAAGGGGTGAATACGTAACCTCCAAGGATGAGTTATTGAAACATTTATGTTAATATAAATCAGTTTGAGTAGATTCATTATCGGGCAGTTTGTTTGGTTTACCAACAACAACAGCCGCCTGGACAGTACTGACGTCTGAGAGAATGCTGGGCTGGACTCTAGAACAGAAGAAGCTATTGTTGCTCTGGTGCACCTTCTACTTTCATTTACCCTCGTCTGTCAGGAGCAGTGTTTGCTCTTCAAATGAGGAATGGCTTGCAGATAGGAGCTGATGGTACACATCTGTCTTTAGAATAAACTGTGCAAACTTTCCCCTTTAGTAATCGAGAGGTTGTTTTGGAGTCAAATAAACATAATTACTTACTTTTTCTCTGGAAAAAGAAAATAGCTTCTGTTGCAATGAACACTAGAAAATGGGGGTGGGATCAATATATGGGGAAATAAAGTGATTGTTTATTCATTCTTTAATGAGTGTCTGAATCTTAAACTACTGCTCTGTGGAGTAAACTACTGAGTCTGCTAATAAGGAGACCTCAATGAATGAATAAGTAACTGAAAAAAGACTCCTACATCACCAACACTTCTTGCACTGCTTCTATATTTAACCTGAAGATTTAATATTTTTTTAGTGTTGTTCTTCTGGATCTGTTCAAACACCATCTGCACTGCAAAAATAAAACCATACTCAGAGTGTTGACTAAAGGAGCAGGCCTCAAACCACAGTTTTTACCATATGGACGGGGTGAATCAGTTCAGAGTAAACGGAAGCTGCTGCATCCGCTTAGTGGCAGAAATGTGATTTGTATGCACACAAGTGTCTGCAGGACTACTGAGCTGAGAGGAAAACTCTGAATCCTTCTGTCTTTGTAATTGTTTGAGTTTGTGTCTCAAGAGTTTAGACTTAAAAAAGACAGACAACATGCTGTGTACTACATCTGGTGTTTACTGAATACAATTTACTTTAGGGGGTGGGTGTGTTTGTGGTGAGACAGAATGATTAATTCTGTCTCTTTGGCATCGTTCATTGAATTTAATGCTCGAGAGTTGTGAAATTGATTGTAACAACTTGCTAATACCCTCACATGAAAAAGGACAACATGTGATCAACAATGGTAATTTATTAGCATTGTCTCA